GTGCTTTTTTCCTCTCATACGCAGTCACTGTTGGGTCACACACTGTCTGGAAACACTGGTTTTAGTTTCAGGACTACTGGGAAACTAAGAAGCTAACAACGTTTCACTGTTGCTCTAATTGCAAAGCTCAGGACAAATACATTTACTGCCCCGAAATTGTAATAAATGATGTGAATCCAAACAGAATCAGTGCCAGAGGTTTCCAAACAGCACATTATTAAACACGTTACTTAATTCCCTCAGTTGCTCTGCAACCCTGTGCTTTGTAGACGGAGCCAGGGCACTTGACAGAGTCAGGGGAAGAGCCCCACTCCAGCTTTAATTGGTTGGGAAATAACGCACAGCCAGGAATTGAACATAATTCTGTCTTTGCACAAACGTAACACGCAGCTAGATGTGACTGCCGCTGTCGTTGAGTAAGGCATCAAGGATGTGCCACAGCCAAACTTTGCTTCCTTCCTCATGCTTTCCTTTTTCCTGATTCTTTTCCTAAAATTTTACACTGACATCTAATTTCATCTCTGACATGGCTGACCTCTTTCTACCCCTTTTTTTGTGTACTTCAGCACCCTAACATTAATTCTTCCCAGCATCCTTTGATATCTCATTTCTTTTTTTCCTTCCACCTCTCTCCACACCTTCCGCCCTTCCTTCACTTTTTCCTCGCCCTCCCGACATCCCTACGTACATGCTCCGGTGCTTCCTGTCTCTCTTGCAAAGTTCTGCTTCCTCATTCTGAGCTAATAAACCTTCACTGGTGTTCAGCTCAGCGTGTTGGGTCGACGGAGGCACAATGAGGTCAGAGCGTTAAAGACGGATGGCTGTAATCTGGTTTGCCGCCCAGCCATCTGCTGCAGTCAGCTGGTTGCTAACTGCAGGGCCAGCCTTTATTATACTACGCCCTCTACATGGCATTTAATCAGAAAGCTTAACACCACTGGGCTGTGGAAGGAATGAGCGAGTGCCCACGCATAAGCCATACCTGGAGGCAAGACTGCTGGGGTGAAGAAGACGTGAGAGAAATTATCTATTAACAGGACTGAGCGGTACCTCCAAAGTAGGATTAAACTAGTGGAAATGGACGCTAAACGAAAAAAACATGTTGCCACAAACGCAAAATACTATATGTTTGTCTTTCCCTTCCACCTGTCAACAGACTGTCGCCCAGAAGGACACAAAGAGTCAGTCATGACTTAAATATGACCTATTTGAGAGACTAAAATATCAGTTTTGCAGGCCTCCGTCGATACACGTTTAAAAGCTGCCAACTACTGTACCGTATGTCTTCCAGTCTTTAATAAATACCCTGTGATTAGGGGATCAAATAAGAAAAGTGAATTAGTGATTCCTCTGATCGCAGCCTGTAGCAGAAGACGAGGGGAGCCTCACACGGCATGCAAGATCTCACTGGAGACGGAGAAAAAACCCAACCACAAAACAAAAAGCAATATGTGAAGGTCTTCTGTGATTGTCCTTTTAGCCCAAACAGACAAGCTTTAAAATCTAAAGCAGTTTCCTAAATTTGCAGGACATCCTGATTAGAGCAGTCTGAAAGCGTCATCTCCAATAACGCACAATTTACTTTAAACGCTTTGCCTTCCAATGACATTTGAAGACCAATAAAAGAAGATATATTTGGTTGCGATCCTCATTATCATGGTTTCACGTTCCATTAGGTTTAAGCCGGGATAAACACAGTAATTTGGCAGGAACGGGACAAACATAAAATATGGTGGGTATTCACTGGAACTTGTGCGAATGAGTTTTCCCCGGGTAATGCCCCAAGCTTTGCTAATGCAGACTCAACTGATTTCTCATTTAGGAAATCCTCAGCACTACTGGGCTATCTTTTACTGACTTCACAGGTGATGGGAAAAGCACTGCTGTGAAGTCAAGAGGCTTTCTATTTAAATTCCACCGGAGGGATCGCGGTTAAGCCGGTAATATTTTGATGATAAGGCAACAGACATATTTACTCCTGACAGGGTGTGCCTGCGAGACCCGATCTGAATCTGAGAATGGATTGGCTGCTAAATGAATTCCTTTATCTGCCTGAGAGACGAGGTTTGAGCAATAACCTCAGAACAAAGAGGCAGAATTAGCTGATGTCCCGAGGGTTGTGTGACATAAGAGAGCAAATATATAAATAGACGGATCTATCAGCGACATGTCCTTGAAAACAGAGAAGTCTTCATCGCTCGTCCTGCACACTTGTCTTCTTCGGGATGAAACATTTGTGGTTGGATCAGATTAAAGATGAAGACGAAGTCAGCATCGGGAATATCCAGAGCTTTGCATGTAGGCATCTGCTGTTACCCCATACACACCTGATTTAACCTCATTCAAGGGGTCATGGGAAATATTCCTGGAGCTAATTAGGGGGAGCCAACTGTTGGGGATTCAGTTGAATTTTGTGGCCTAACCTTTGACTCCTATGTTAATGGTGGAGTGAAGACACTCGAGCTTCTGACAGAGAAACAACCGAATATAAAAACAGAAAACTCTGATACCCGGAAGCAACTGGAATCTAGGTATGCTTATCACACGAACACCTTTTATTGCTTTCTGCATTTGTCTGTGATCATCTGTGTGTGAGAGAGCTTTCTGTTAATGTCTTCAGATGGAATAATAAAAGACAAAATTCGGACACAACACATAAGAACTTACCTTATCTGTGTACACAAAGAACAGGATGAGCAAAATCACCTCCGCCAGGAGAATTATCAGCAGGACAATGAAGAACTGTCAGAAAGAGGAAGAGCACTGTTACAACAGCAGCACAGGCAATATTGTAAATTGAATTTGTTGAACAAAACTCTGAACAGCTCAGCTTCTTTTGCAGTTAAGTGCTGTTTTATCTGAGTGTTTCACAAACTTCACAGTAAGACTTGCATCTGTGATTTAAAGCGCATTTATTTATCCTCCAAACTCAAATGTATTGTGTGACTCGCGGATCATCTAATGATCTTTTAATTTGGGTTAAAGCAATTGTTTGACATCTTGTGAAACATAAGGTAAGGGTTAAATGAGATGAGCTAGCAGTCAATTAGTTTAGCTCACACTGAAACAAAAAGACACAAAAAACTAGAGCCTGGCTTTATCTGCCAGCTGGCATCTCTTAAAACCCAATAATTAACACATGAATCATCATTAAGGAAAAACAAAATAAAAAATAAAGCTGTAGTATTTTAAGGTTAATTGCTCAGCTATGACCCAGCGAATCGCTTCGCATGACTGTAAAACCAGCTCTAAATAAAACTAGCTGGCATTACCTACTGACCCCTTCATTTACACTGTTCAGCTCGGTTGGACAGTTTCTGGCAGCAGCTTTATATTTACCAGCTGTATTAATCTTCTCATTTTTGATCTTGACAATAAAACAAATGAGTAAATTTCCCCAAAAAATGTTCCAGGTTTCAGTTTATGGTTTCATTTGGACGAGTTCCTGCCGGAGATCGACAGACGGATTGGGGCTGCAGCTGCAGTGATGCGGACGCTGCACCGGTCCGTCGTGGTGAAGAGGGAGCTGAG